ATTTACTTGGTAATGAAAATAAATTTACAATTGAATTAACTTGGTTGACAGGTGGTAAAAAAAAGTTACTATAATACGTCCATCAATAATAATGGAATTTTCTTGGTCGGGAAAGAAAACAAAAGAAGGTAATCATATGCTTTAAAACGTGACAAAGTTAGAAATAGTATCCACATTCCAATTCTCTCCAAGAAAGACAGGGGAAATGATAACTGTAAAAGGATCTCATATTGCAAGTAGATCCATCTTGAAACATCTCAAATTTTCTACTAATACAATAATTAATTATTATTTATTTTTATATTTATGAAGATTATTTTCTTATAGTTATTTTAAATTAATTAAAAGGGTTTTATAGAACATTTTTAGAAGTTTTTAATTATGAGTATGTTAATTAAATAATAAATATTTTATAAAAAAAATTATTTTGCATAAAATTCTGATGGTATTTTGAGGGCTCAGAACGGGTCGTTCCCAAAGGTGGAACGAGCCATTCCAAATTACTAAAAAGGCTTAAAAACTCTACTTGGGAAGGACCGTTCCAAACAGGATCATTGTGAGTTAAATTCAATCCCAGAACGGGTCGTTTTGGTGGTGAGAACGGGTCGTTCTGGTGTTGAGAACGGGCCGTTTTGATTTTAGAACGGATCGTTCTAGATGTAAACTTTACACATATCGAATGAGTCCAGAACGGGCCGTTCCGGATTCAAAACAGACCGTTCTAGCCACTCTAGACTTCTATAAATAGGAGGGGGACTGTAGAAAATGAAAACAAACGGAGGTGAAAATGTAAGTGAGAGAGAGAAAGAAAGAAAGAAAGAAAGAAAGAGAGAGAGAAAGAAAGAAAGAGGGAGAGAGAGAAAAAAATGAGTAGGAAGAGGATCGTGAAATTTTTACGCAGTTAATAAGTCGACGTTCTAAGGTAAGGGGGAGGAGAACGTTATCTTTTAAAATTTTAATATTATTTTGTTTACTTATTTATGTTATTTTTTATTTGTAACTTCCTAACTTCATTTATTTGCTTAACCTATGATCATTTTTACTCATAATAATTAATAAAGTGTTCATAATTTATGTTGTTTAATTATTTTATAATGATTATCATTTTTCATTTATATGATTAGTACTCTTAATATATTCCTTTTACGTGAATATTATTTTATGATTAACTATAATATAGTTTCCTTAAAGTCTCTTTAATTTGTCTTGTTGTTATTTCTTCATGTATATATGAAGATAAATATTATTCTATGGCCATAGAAAATAAAGTTTGAACTAATTTGTAGTTGGAGGTTTATCCTTGGAGATTTAAATGAGTAAGGAATCAAATGTGAAATATCCTCTTGTTGGTTAAGGTGAAATATCCTCTTGTTGGTTAAGGTGAAATATCTTTTGTTGGTTGATATTATAATGATGCTCATTTATCCTAACTAGTCATTACAAGTATAATTCAAATTTTATGTGTGTGTGTGTGTGTGTGTGTGTGTGTGTGTGTGTGTGTGTGTGTGTGTGTTTAATATTGATTATAAATAATTCTGTACATTTTATTGAATTATTTGTATTTATTGGATATTTGTTCTCACTCCTCACTTTTTCTTTGTTTTTAAAATTAAATATATTACAAAATAGATGAATCTACCTGCGATTCCAGATCCTTGTTATTATTGTTGTCTTCCGTGGAGGGAATTGGAATGTGAAGGTTGTTCGATAGACCTATTATAATTTTTTTTGTCAATCATGTTAATTCAATTATAAATTTATTTTCATCATCAATGTAAATATTGTAATAGAATTAGAAAAAACAAATAATGTGTAAAATAGTACATTATTGTAAATATTTTTAGAACGATACTTAATAATAAGTTCACAAAATCTTCTTTGTCTTTATGAAAATATTATTAATGATATAATTGTGATAATACCATATAGGAAAAATATATTCAATATTATATAAGTTGGACATTACACATCTATTTTGTAATACATTTGATTTAATTGAATTTTAAAATAAAGAAAAATAAAGAGTGAGAATAATTATCCAATAATTATCAATAATTAAGTAAAATGCATAGAAATATTTTTAACTAATATTAAGTGAATATATTAGTCCTTCTTGTTATAATAAAAAATTTGAATTATTTTAATAGTGACTAGTCAGGATAAATGAACATTATCATAATATCAAAATAACAAAAGGGTATTTCACCTTAAGTTCTTTACTCATTTAAGTCTCCAAGGTCAAACTTTCAACTACAAATTAATTCAAACTTTCATTCTTATAACCATAGATTAACATTATCTTTATAATGAATACTGATATAAGACGAGATTAAGAAAAATTTAACAATAATAGATTTTAATTAGAAAATAAAAAAAAATAATAATAATAATAGGAACACCTCACTAAGTAAATACACATAAATATAAAACAAATATAATAGTATAGAAAATTTAAAAGGATAAAAGTCTCCTCCCCCTTACCTAAGAAATATATAATTATCGAGAGTTAACTGCTATTTTTTTTCACTTCCTCTTCTTTCCCTCTCTTCCTTCTCTCTTTCTTCTTTCTTTCCTTTCTTACTAACGTACTCTCTTTCTCTCTTTTCTTACTGATGGTCCCCCTTGTTGGCCTATTTATAGACAAATTTTGTAATAACCTAGTTAGTTTTTAATGAATTTTTTTTTTATTTTTCATTTGATCTCAACAATACCATTACACTTCTAGTTAGTAAGAGATAAACACTAATTAAAAGGATAAGGTTCATACAATGCAACAAATTTTATTTGTTGCAAATCTTTTTTAATTGTTTTTCTTTTAATTTTTTTAAAAAAAATTAAAAAAAAACTTCCTTCTATTTATATACATAAAAGGAATAATTATTTGAATATCTATATACTTCATTAATACAATTAAAGTGTTATTCTAAAAAGATTTTGATTTTAAAAAAAATTATAATGTAATTTCATTTTTATATATCTAAAAAAAATTATAGCATTAAAAATAAAATATTATATTTCTATTTATTTTTCAAACATGGTAACTAAAAATTAAGATTATTATAAAAAAAAATAAGATCATAATAATAATAAAATTGAGTATATTGTAATAATATTGTACCAGAGGTTCGAAATATTACAGTAATTGGTAAGTTAAACTCTACTTAATTTAATTAACCTACGACCCCCTCTATTTCTCCTCCTATGAACTCTTAAGGTTTCAGGATATGTGCAAAATGATCTAATCTTTTTTAACCTCTCCTATTTGAATTAGTCTATGGATTGGACCCAGAATCTAGCCCAAAAACTTCTTATGAGCTCTCTCGCCCTTTATTTTATGAATAAAATATTTTTTCATCCCTAATTATTTATTATTTATTTTTTAAAAAAAATGGGATCTTACCAGTGTCACAAGAGAGTAGTGAGTTTTTCTGAGTTGAAAGATCCTATTGTGAGGTTTTATGATTTGGTGCTCTAAGAGCCTAATAATAATGAAAATCCTTTAATGAAAGGATTAGTTACTAAAGTGGAGAGTTGTTTTAAAAAAAATATATCCTTTATGTTCTTAAGTTGAATACTTGTTAGAAGCAACTAAGGTAAAAAGTCGAGCTCCAAAATCCCTAAACTAGTTCTAGAAGGGAGCATGGTATCAAGAGTATAGATGACAGGCTAATTCCATATGAAGAATAGGTTGATGCATACCAATGTTATGGTAAACTCACACCCAAGTTATACTATATGTGACGACTATATTGGATCTACCTAGTTTAAGTGGTGAAACTCAAGAAACGAATCATGTGTTGTTTATGGTCATTGAGTCACCTAAGTTGTTAAAATGACCTAAAGAATAAATGTTTTCTGCATTATAGGTTTAGTAGGGTCAAACCATATTTTAAACTATTCATCTATATTGTATGAAATCTCTTAAGTTGAAAATGTATGATGACACATAGTGTTATTGAGTTGTATTACCTATGTTGCTATGTTGTATACTTGAGTTGTTGAGATGTATATACTTATGTTGTTGAGTTGTGTTCCAATGTTGTTAAGGTGTGAAGGTGTGGTGAAATATGAATTGAAATGTTTATTGGTGCTGATGTGATTTCTCCAAGTTGAAGTTGTTAACTTTTAAAAGTGGTTTGAAGTTACGTTTTAGTTTTCTATCCTTTGTTGTTCTTTATCAAGTTTATACTTGCATTTCATGTGTTAGACAATAATGATTATACATGGTACAAGAGCATATGCTAGGATTAGGTTAGAGGATAAACCTGAAATTGGAAAACATTTTGTGTTGTTCTAATACAACTTTTGTAGTTAGAGTTGTTTGGTCAACAATTTAGGATTTTATATTTTCAGTCCTTACAATTGTGCATATTTTGTTGATATTTGTATCTATACAAGATGATTGTAACCCATAAGAGGCTTTATATTTTCAGCATGATGGACAGAAGATGATTTATGTTTTCTTGTAGTGTATTAAACTACAAGTTTTTAATTTAACTTTTTTTGGCCACAACCCACAATGGAAAATAAGAAAAATCAAATTATAAATTTTATTCTAAATTGGGTCAAACAATGACAAATGAACTTTTGTTGATCTAGTTTTATTTTTTATTATTATAATTTTATTCTCTTATTTTGCTCTAATATTTTATTTCTCTATTTCTTATTTTTATTCTTATTTAACAAGACAAAATTTGGTGTCTCGTTTTTCTTTATACGATGATTATAACAATTTAGAGACTTTTATGATTAAACAATTTCTTGATACTCGACACTTATAAATAGATAAGGAGAGTAAATGATAATTGATTTTGATAAATTTGTAGTTCGTTAGTTTTATATTTTATAACTAAATGCTTCTCAATTATTTGACGGGAGAGACAAGATGTTCAACTTTATTTGTGAAACTTTGAGCTCAAATTTAAGATGTAAATGAATAACATTGTGAAATTACCAACACAAAATAAAGAATGATAGAAAAAAAAAATTCTTCTAAATAATGATAGTAATAATATTTATTTTTTAACTTCATATAATTACATTGAAAAACAAATTAATCACCACAATTGCCTCCAGGTCCTCCAAATTGGAGAAAATATCCAATATTCCGTTTTGGTATATATCCATAGTATTTAACACCATAACAATGAGAGTTGTCAGTGAATGATTTTACTTGATTTACTTCAGGCCCATGATTTTTTCCTGATGCATCTCGAAATGAGACAAAGCTAAAATAACATGCATGAACAATGATATTATCAGGAAAATGTCCGGATCCCATGGGAGGACTAGGAGTACCAGGAGGAGTTCTTGTTCTCCCACCCCCCCCCACCTGATCGGCAGAGGCCAAGTTGGAGAACAATGCTGCCGGAAAATATCCAAAATTTTTACCATCCACTTGTAACCACCAGTTTTTGGTCACCAGGTCCTGAAAACATATGTAAGTTTTTGTTTGTATACGGCATTACATGTATCATATAATATTATAAAATTATCATTATATTTACTTAAGAATGTATATGATTGAGAAATTAAAATAAATGTTAATGTCATGAGTTGTATATAATTTTGTCTTTCTTATAATGAAAATGTTATTGCATGAACACTACCTGAAAAATAGAAAGGTCCGCCACAACCATAATTCCACCATATATAGATGTATTGCTTATACTTGCACCAAGATAATTTCCTTTGCTAGTTTGAACAAAGCCCGGACATCGAATATTGTAACACCCTGTCCTCTTGTAATTATCTGACTGTGTTATTTTTAAATATCATGTTAAATTTTAAAGAAATAAAACATGTTACATCCCAAAAATAAGAATAATTAAATTAATAAAATGATGGATGCATTTTACTTTTAGTCTCCTATAATATTTAATTAACAATTTTGCTCCATCAATTTTTATTTTTACAATTTTAATCCTCAACTTTTACCAAATTCATTGTTAATTGTTCATCTATTTACCTTTAAAATGATAATGTTGACAATGATATGACATTAAGTAGAAACTATGAAATTAATATTTAGATTAAATTATATTTTATTACATATTTTTACCTCATAAAAGTAATTGAAAAATGAGAAATAAAACTAGATTTTGACCTAAATGCAATTAAATACCAATTATCATATCATCTAATTATTTTTAGATCATGATTACTATTACAATTTTATCAATTAACGAATGAACATTTATTGATAGAACCAAATATTAGATTTTATAAAATTAGAAATTAAGATTGAGGAATTAAAAATTAGCAAACTAAAAAAAAATTAGGGAACTAAATATTGTGGGTTGGGACTTAGATTGTAATATTAATTATTATAAAATTTCTTTTAGATCAAATATTTGAATAATAATTAAAATTTTAAAAATATTGTATAATTTTTTTTAATAATTTTAAGAAAAGTGTGTATCTATATGTATATAACTAATTTTGCATTTTACAGTTAACATTATAACTTTTTAATCCGTAAAATTTAAACAATTGAATCATAATTTATTTTAGAAAAATTATATGTAATTTTAATGAAAAAATAATGTTTATTGTTTAAACATAATTTATATCATATTCTATTAATTTATTTTAAATACAAAATATTTAATGTTATATGATTTATTATCATTATGTAAACTAAACGTTGAATAACATTAAAATTTATTGTACTCATATTATATCCTACTATTATTTTATCATAATTTCATATCTTATATTATCCTAACACCAAACAAAGCTCTACAATGGTTATTATGTATGTATAATTTCTTTATCCCTAGAGTTTGATGTATATTTATGATAATACCCTCCATGGTGTTACAAAACAAGTTTCTTAAGTCAGCCTAAAGCGAAAATAAGTTTTCCTTGAGTAAAATTGAAAATATTTGATACTATTATTTTAATTTGTGCAATCGACAGATTCAATATTTTATTATATAGATAAAATTTATAATAAATTATATATATATATATA